GGGGGGGGGGGGGGGGAGAGAAGATATAACAACTACAATCCTTTGAAGTTGTTACAACAAGCAAATGGAAAGGACATTGTTGGGTGGGAGGGGGGAGAGGAAGGAGGGAGGAAGGTTTTGGTAATGGGCCACAATAATCAACCACATTGTATATTGACAAAATAAAATAAAAATAAAAAAATAACCAGCTCTCATAGGAAAAAAAAAAAAAAAAAGATATTCTATGCACACAGTAACCAACAGAGAGAGCTGCAGTGGCTATTCTAATATCAGACAAAACAGAGTTTAAGATAAAAGTGTTAGGGCCGAGCCCGTGGTGCACTTGGGAGAGTGCGGCGCTCCCGCCATGGGTTTGGATCCTATATAGGGATGACCGGTGCGTTCACAGCGCTCACTGGCTGAGCACGGTGTGGCCGGTCTCAAAAAAAAGGACAAGAAAAAAAAAAAAAAAAGGGGTTATAGGGGAAAAAGAAGGACATTATATAACTGACAAAAAGGACATTATATAGACAAAATTGACAAACTTTCAGCTGGACAGGCCAAGAAAAAAGAAGACTCAAATTACTAAAATCTAGAAGAAAAGTGGGGAAATTACTACCGACATCATAGAAATAAAAAGGATTATAACAGAATACTATAGATAGTTGTATGCCAACAAATGGAATAACCTCGATGAAAAATGGACAAATTTCTAGAAATACAAAATCTACCAAAACTGATTCAAAGAAGAAATAGAAAATCTAAATAGACCTATAACAAGTAGAGATGAAATCAATAATCAAAAAACTTCTAACAAAGGGGCCGGCCCGGTGGCGCACTGGATAGTGCACCGCTTGGGAAGCGCGGCGGCGCTCCCGCCCTAGGGTTCGGATCCCACATACAGACCGGTTCCCGCTCACTGGCTGAGCGAGGCGCGGTAGCGACACCGAGGGTTGCGATCCCGTTGCCGGTCCCCGGTCCGGTTCGGGGGCAACACTGAGGGTTGCGATCCGTTGCCGGACACGGAAAAAGACAAAAGACAAAAAAAA